AATTTTTTATGAAAAGAGTATGTATTACTAGTGTTTGGTTTTGAGTATTTAAAAGAAAACAAAATCCTACAAATAACCAACCTCCTTGCTGGCCCATAAAAGTAGATAAATTGAAGCTTAATTGTCTTAATTGACCCCAAACAAGCAAAACCAAGCAAAATGAACCAAATTAACAAAAGAAAAAAACAAGGAATTGGCAGAAAAAACAAGATGAAAAGTAGTCATGTAATTGAACTTAGACTTTCTGACTTTTAAATGCAATTTCCAGCCCCAAAATTTTTAATTATTTTCTCTCCTTTTTCTTATTTGCATTTGGATGTTTCTCCAATCTTCCTTCTTGCATTAGTTTCATTCTCTCTTTCTTCCATCTTTCTTCGTCATCTCCCTAGACGAGTCTGGAGAATCCAACCCAGATCCCACACCCATATCGGTGTTGAGTAGTGTCAACACGGGTACTCCACTGAAAATGCTGAGCCTGAGCGTCAGAGATAGAAAGTGGCAGCACATTGAAAGTGATATATTGATATAATAAGAGTGAGAGAGTGAGGGAGAGAGAGAGAGAGAGATATTTCTTTAATGGAGAAATTTTCTAATGCTAGGCTTTTAAATTTTTTATTCCCATCCCACACTCAAACTATTCATCCAATACTTGTAGATTCCTACCATGTCCATTTCTCAATAAATTATTACCCCTTTTAATCCTTAAATTTATATTAACTTCAGACAGTCTTTTCCATTCTCAATGAGAAAATAAGTAAATCAAATAAATCAAGGACCTCAAGGACACCTAGAGAAGAGCAAGCATCATCTAAGTATAACTGTATCATTCTGTTCTGAAGTGGGCTAGAGTATTTAAATATCTGAAAAACCATACTAGTAACCTTTTAGTATAATATCGCTCAAAGTCTGGTTGTGTTGTTATTTCCAAATTATTAATTTAATTGCATTAACATCTGTAACCAATTAATCAAGAATGCTCCATATATGTAGTCTTCGACTACTGTTACAGCATGAAAGATCACAAGAAACAACCAACACCAAAAAAAGAACATCAAATGTGAAAACCAGCGCAGATTCTTCTTAACTGCAAGGACATTGTCCCTCAAATTAATTCATAATTTCTAAAACTTGTTCATAATAAATGCTGAAAATTAAAATTAAAAAAAAAAAATTCATAACCCTGAACTGCCCCTGTGAGATAGAGAAAAATGCAAGTTTTTGTGAAATATTTTTCTCAAGCAAAGATTTCTCCTTTTACTTCACTTAAATTATAATTAAAAAAGCCACTGGATCTAAAAAACAAGTAATAAAGAACAATCAAGGAACCTGTTTAGGAACTTATGCATCAAGTTTAAATAACAAAGGCTACATACACCTGGAGATTTTAAAGAGAATAATTCCACATAACCTGTAAAATAATGCCATGTTAAGTTAAACATGCTTGCAACTAAAACGATCACTAAGAAAAATAGGAAGACATACCCTTCATTGTCCTGAGGTCGGGGCTTAAAACGAGGCTCGCGGTTTCCCACTTGAGGGCTGCCTCTAGGCCGAAGCATCCTTTTACGCTGCTGAACTCCATAATTAAAAGCTTCCCTTTCCCTTTCTGTAGCCCCTTCACCATCTGCACATCCGTCATCAGAATCTTTGTCATATAATCTATTGCGCTTTTCAGGTCTGTCTCCTTCTGTGTCACCATCTCTTTCTCTTCTCCTATCTCTAGCTTCTCTATCAACATTTTTCCAGCTATCCAACTCTTTTTGTTTTTTCTGCTCAGACACCTGATTTTCCTGCTCTTGTATTCTAACAGATCCATCTTCCAATTCCTTCTCATTGTTCGATCCTTCTTTCTCCACTCCATTCAATGATTCTCTCTTGATATGATCTTTTTCCCTCTCTTTTGGCCTTTCCTTTTCCTTCAAATCCTTACTTTCTCTCTCCCATCTCTCTGCTTCTCTCTCCTCTCTAGCAGATTCTTTGGCCTCACCACTACCATTACCTACTTGCAAACTGCTCTTACGATCACTTCTTTCCTTATCTCTATCTCCCCAATCTCGATGTTTCCCATCTTTTTTCTTTCTATCCTTGTCTTTAAACCCATCCTCACCTTTTGAATCAAACTTGTTCTCACCAACAGCCTCATGAGCTTCAGCATAATCTCTTTCTTCTGTAGCAGAACCTTCCTTTCCAACCTCAACCTGTCCCCGCAAACTACCACGTTGGATATGCCATTGATCTATGTTGCCAACTGGAGCTTCTGGATATCTTTTTCCTCTATGGTAATCCCTTGGATCCTTCCAACTTGGATGAATACTTGCCCCACCATAAAGATCCTTTTCGACCTTCGCATCACCCTTTGGTTCACTATAATTCTCCCTATCATATTTCAATTCTTTATTCTCATCCCCTCTACCCTCAAATCTACCATCCTTTTCACCCTTCCCACTTTGATACTCCCTCTTTGCAGCCTCACCATAAAACTCCCTCGGATCCACCCTTGTTTCTCGACTCTCAACCCTAACCTCACGATTTTCCTTGGCATCCCGCGACTCCATCCTACTCTCAGAACCACCCTGATGGGAATCCACATGTGAATCACTCAAAACAGTAGACGAAGGCATTCGATACATGGAGTGCTGCAGAGGTGACCTTCTATCGGAATCACGAGGCTCAATTCTAGGAATCCTAGGCATTCTACCATCTTGTCCCATCTCATAAGGGGCAGAATGATGGTACTCAGTGGGAACCGAAGATGACGGCATTTTGGGGTAAGTACCAGTATCCTCATGTGGGTATTTAGAAGCAGAAGAAGAATGAGCACCACCTTCTTCATGAGATCTCTTTGGAGGACCACTCATCTTTTCAAATTCACTAACAATTCTTTGAACTTAAATAAAACTCAATACCAAGATTAAATAAAACAAACACTATTTCCTTAAAATTTTCTCATCCTGCAAAGAAAATAAGCCCAAAACTTTTTCAAAATAAAAACAACCCAAATGTCAAAAAAAAAATAAAAAAAAAAAACAACAATGTTGTAACAGAAAAATATAACATGAAAAACCTAGTAACATGTTTCAGTTACAGAAGAAAGCTGTAACGAGAAAAAAAATGCAGGAAACATAATAATAAGACAAAGAAAAGACAGAAAATTTTGAGGAGAAAAAAGCTAACCTGGTTTTTTTTGTGAAGTGAATTGAAGAGTTAAGTGTTGAAAAGCTGGGGATCGAAGATATATTTCAGTTTCTGGGTGTTTTTCTATTTCAGTTTAAAGAAAGAAACTTTGGATGAATGTGGGGTAATGTTTGAAAGCCAACCCTTTAAAATCGATGTCGTAATTGGCAAGAGGCGAAGGTATTTCTTATTTTATTTTATTTTTAGGAATTTTGTTAAGCCCAAAGAGTTTCCCAGTCAACATGTCCAAAAGGGTGAAGCCCAATACTGATAGAGCAGCCCCATTTCTAAAGCAGAGGATCTTCCAACTGAAGTGATTAGATGAGACCGGTCCAATTTATAAAATATGAAACTTGAATCCAATTGTGTATTTTTTGAAAATTTTAATTACTACCCAAAAGATTAATTGTTTCACTAAAACATCCTTGCAAAGAATCAAATATTGTAATATATATATATATATATATAGATGACTTCTCATTTATACTTATTTGGATCATACAAATTTAAGACTAAATTCATATTTTAAAAGTTTACTTTATTTTAACGCTGATGAAACTTTGGGATGCTAAACCTCTATTTTGATTAGAGTTAGCATCGAGTCGAATTCGGGGTTGATTTTGCCCATCCCGAACCCGACCTTAACTTTATGTGTATCAAATTCGAATCCGATCTTACTCGAATTTTTTTTATTTTTTATATCCGAACCCGACCTCAATCTAATATTATATAAATCATATTCGATTCGATTAGACTCGAAATTAATAAAATATTATTTTTAAATATAAATATTTAAAATATCATTATATAAATATATATAAATAAAAAATTAATAATTAATTAAAATTTATTTTTTATATAATATCGGGTCGAATTTGGTCGGATTTACCTAAAACCCAAACCCGACCTAACCTCGATTGTTTCATAATCTTATCCGATCCGATCCAACCTGAAACTCAAATTTTAAAAAAAAAAAAATTGATCCCGTAGGATCAGATCGATTGAAACCCGTCGGTGATGGGTTAAATTGCTAACCCTAATTTTGATTTATTGGAGAAAAGACTAAAAAAAAAAAAAGTGAAGGATATTTTGTTTTTGGAAGCGTGGAAAAACAAAAGAAAAATTTGGTTTCAATCTTTTGAAATCAATAATTAAAATAAATGTAAATATTTTTATTTATATTTATATAAATGATTACCTTCCATATATTTTTGTGACTTTAAAAAATGTAATTCTTTTGTCAAGCTTATTATATTTTATTTTTTATGAACTTACAAATATACAAAATTTATAATCATAAAGTAAGTATTGCGTCCATATAAAAAATTACATCAAACAAATAAATCCAAAATTTTAATTTGAGATCTCAAAGTTTTATGATCTTTTTCTTACCGTTAAATCAAGATCTCATTACTCAATTATCTCTCATTAGGACTACATGAATTTTCATAACCATCCAATTATGAATTTTTTTAATAACAATAATATTCTACATCTTTACAAGCCTAAATTAGTCGGATTGTAAAATACTTGTGCTTCCTTCTGCAAAAAAAAAAAAAAAAATCACATTCTTTGCAATGAATACGTATCCATAGAAAAGGAATTCTTGGCGAAATACCTAAACCCTTAATTTAGACATACAATTGTAAACTTGGGAAATTGATTGTTCTTGATTTCTTTCCCATTAGCATATATTCCAAAAAATAATTAACATCAATGGACTGATAATTATCAGATGATTAATAGGGTTTACATATCTAATCAAACCAAACCTTAAGAGTCCAAATTAGCTCCAACCTATATATATAATTAATACTATTGCTAAACTACTTACGTTTTAGTTTTCTTCTATTGTTCGACTGCGTTGGCGATGCCATTGGCGACCTCCTAGGAGAGATGACAAAGCAAAGATTTTGTGTCAGACTATGGCGAAACATCCAAACAGTAACAATATCAATATCTTTCTCAAGTCTATGCTCTCTGTAAAAGGTTTTCCACCCCGCACTAGTAAGCACATACATCTTGAGACTCCAGAACACGAACTTCATCACGTACTCTTTCCCTTCTATGTCGTATGTGATCACTCTGATTCCCTCGTTAACATCCTCATCCTCTTTCAACAATGGTATCATGGACTCTTGGACGTGTTTTTTGTTCAAGCTCAGCCTTGTTTGACTATCCTTCAAATCAGTTTGCGTCAACCGCTTTTCACAAGGCTTGCTACATTCGCCAATGAGGCCGGCCAGAGCTTTTATCGGAGGGAAATCTGGGGGTCGATAGTCATCTAAGAATATTGTGGAATTTGGTACAGAAATTCTATTGCTTCCATGAATAACTGAGCTTGGATTCTCCTCAATACAAGGGTCTTCTTTTTCTTGCTTCTCTTTGCCTTTAATTGCACGAAGAATCTTTCTTTTCAGCTTCTCCAAAGTAACAGCAGATTTTTCGTCTAACTTTGCATGCATTAAAGAAGCAAGAGTGAAAGAAGCACCGTAATCCTCCTGAGTTAAAAATTCTTCATTACTGTAACTCTCAATGGCGTTGGAATTGTTTTCCTCAGGTTTTTTCTCCATGGTTTTACTAAAACAAAGGGTGGTTTTCTTGGGAGATTGATGAAGGGAGGGATGAAAAATCGTAAAGCCAAGGTCTTCTCCTATCTCAAGGAAGAGGCTTTAATAGATATGGACCAGCAGAGAAATTAATAACAGGAATTGCTTTGATAAATTGATAATGGCAGAGCAATGTAGAGGAATATATAGTTCTATTAAAAGCTTTCGCCTTCTAATACGGACGAATTCCTAAAATAACGGAACCAGGGTTTCTTTTTTTTTCCATTAATAAAAATTTGAACCCATCCGGCATAAAATAAGAAAATAAAAACTATATATAGTATATGATTTCATGTTATCTCTCTACTTATTCAATTTTTTCTACCCGTGGAAGTTTTACAATTTTCCTTTTTATTTAACAAAATTTTTTTTTCCTTAAGATCTGATTGGATAACTTTTCTCAATTTAACTATAAGACAATATCTAATTTCAAGTCTTTGAGCTCAAATAAACCAGAGCTCTAATTCTATTTTGAAATTCATATGTTTATATGTCTTAGTACTAAATTTTATATTTGATAAAATATGCATGATTTAAGTTGTGAATTCCATTGTTTTTTTCGGGTGATTACTGAATTTATTATTTCTTGGTGATCCTTTGTACCTTTTAGATGGTTATCCTTCATGCATTCCTACAGCAAGCTCAATGGTAGCTTCAAGATATAGAAAGAGACGGTGGATAAGAACAACACTAATCTGATGTCTGGTATAGCAAGTAATGCTCTTCAACAAATTTATGTCCAGTATCACTTAGCCGTAATGACAAGAATTTAAAATGGTATGATTCAACAAACATCAACACAAAAATACATGTCAAGTAATTATAAGTAAGACTAGCAAGAATTATCAAAAGAACAAGGCACTATACAAATAGTTTCCAGTACAGTTCCATAGACAATTTATACATTCTATAACTGAGACCTAAATGATTAGTTCCCTCTTCTTAAATAAAAAGGATCCCACCTTCTACAAAAAATTGCCCTTTGAAAAAACCGGATACAAACATTGCCTAATCAAGATGCTCATTCTCTGTGTTTTCTTTTAACCTGTTAAGAAAATATACACCACTCCTTTTCAGGTCTTGGTTCCTAAAACGCACTTCTGTATGAACTCAGTATTTCACGATCATCATCAATTTCATCATAGTTTAAAGAACTATGGTCTTCATGAGTAACATCTGCTTCTTGATCTCTGACTGCTAGATCCTCATCTTACTCAGGTTTTGCTGCTTCCTTCCTCCTGCTACCACATCAGCCAATGACAATGCAAAATTTAATGAGAAAGCTACAAAGGATTAGCTGTACCTGTACATAGCCAAATATTAATCCATCAAAGTTTGCTTATCAAAAGGTGTCATAAGTGTAGCCTTCTTGTTTCTGCTTGTGTTGATCATAGAGATTTGATTCTAAACCCAGATTTTAAAGCTTGCTTCAATTAATATATACATATATATATATATATATATATGAAACTCTGAGATGCTAAACCCTGATTCACCGGAAGAAAAGAAAAGTAACAGGAAAAGTGAGGAAGATCTTTATTTAAAGTCAAATATTATATTTATATAAGTATAAGATAAGTTATAAGAGCAGTAATCGTTATGAGCAAATATTATATTTATATGTAGTCAAATCAAACAAACAAACCAACCAATAAAACAATTTATAATCGGATAACTTTAATATAAAATTAAATTAAATTCACAAATTTCATAACTTGTTTTTGGCCACTAAATCAAAATATCATTAGATTGACTATCTCTCATTAGGACTACAAGAATTTTGAAATCTGTTCAACTATGAGTTTCTTTAAGAACAATATTCTACATATTTGTAAGCCCAAATTAATTAGACTGTAAAAACTAAAATACTTGTACAATTTCTTGTGCCAGACGATAAAAACCTTTGCAGCACTTACTTGCAATACGATATCCACCATAGATAGAGGAGTTCTTGGCAAAATACCTAAACCATTAATTTAAAAATACAATGATTGTTCTTGCTTTCTTTTCCATTAGCATATATTCCAAAACATAATTAACATCAGTGGAACAATAATTACCAGATGATTAATAAAGTATAAATATCCAATCAATACTATTGCTAAACTACTTACGTTTTCTTCTGTTGTTCAACTGCGTTGGCAATGCCATTGGTGACCTTCTAGGAGTGATTACAAAGCAAATATTTTGTGTCAGCCTATGGCGAAACATCCAAACAGTAACAATATCGATATCTTTCTCCAGTCTATGCTCTCTGTAAAAGGTTTTCCACCCCGGACTAGTAAGCACATACATCTTGAGACTCCAGAACACGAACTTCATCTCGTACTCTTTCCCTTCTATATCGTATGTGATCACTCTGATTCCCTCATTGACATCCTCATCCTCTTTCAACAATGGTATCATGAATTCTTGGACGTGTTTTTTGTTCAAGCTCAGCCTTGTTTGCCTATCCGTCAAATCAGTCTCTGTCAACCGCTTTTCAAAAGGCCTGCTACATTTGCCAATAAGGCCGGTTAGAGCTGCTACCGGAGGGATAACTGGGGGTTGATAGTTGTAAAAGATTGTGGAATTTGGTACAGAAATTCTATTGCTTCCATGAATAACTGAGCTTGGATCCTTTTCAATACAAGGGTCTTCTTTTTCTTGCTTGTCTTTGCCTTTAATTGCACCAAGATTCTTTCTTTTCAGCTTCTCCAAAGCAACAGCAGATTTTTCGTCTAACGTTGCATGCTTTAAAGAAGCAAGAGTTAAAGCAGCACAGTAATCTTCCTCAGTTAAAAATTCTCCATTACTGTAATTCTTGATGGCTTTGGACTCGTTTTCCTCATATTCTTTCTCCATGGTTTTACTAAAAGAAATGGTGGTTTTGTTGGGAGATTAATGAAGGGAAGGATGAAAAATCGTTAAGCTAAGGTCTTCTCCAATCTGAAGGCTGAAGCTTTAAGACATATGGACGAAGCCAAGGATGAAAGAGAGAAATTAATAAAGGAATTGCTTTGATAAATTGATGATGAAAGAGCAATGTAGAGGAAGGAATATTTGTTATTAGAAGGGTTTTGCTTTTAATAATGATGAAGTCCTACACTAAAGGGTTTCTTTCTTTCCTTAAATTTATATAAAAAAATTTAAAAAAAAAAAAAACAGGTTATCTCTCTACTTATACAATTTCTTTATCCAAAGTTTTACAAAAATCTTCTATTTCTTTTAGGATTTCAAATTTTGATATGATAAAGTTTTACCAATTTAACTATAAGACTATCTAATTTCAAGTCTTTTCCCTCAAATAAACCAGAGAACTAATTCTATTTTGAAATTCATATGTTTATATGTCTTCGTACTAAATTTTTGTACTTGATAAATATGCATGATTTTTAAGTTAGAGGTGAATTACAATTTTTTTAAGTGATTACTAAATTACTAATTTTTTTTTTAAGTAAAGACTCATCCACTAGAAAAGAAAAAGGAAAGTTATTAGTAAATAGACAAAGAATAATGCCTCAGAACTTTAATGTCTAGAAGTTGTAACAACCAAATCTTCTCTTTCTACGAGTTGTATGAGAAAATTTCTTTTGCCGTTCTTTTGCTGGCTGATCTGATGCTTCATGGCTTTCTTATCCTTTTGAGCTTCTTTAGCTATCTTACACTTTCAAAGAGGCTTTTCATTTTCAGTCATGGGTTTCTTTGACCTCCTAGAAGTTCTCTTCAAAAATGAGCTCTCCGCATTATATTCATCATCATCATCATCATCATCTTTATCCTCATCTATAGCAGAAATACTGGGCAATTCGGCAGCTAGGCTATCATCATTACAGGTCCCATCCTCAGGATCATCAACAACTGGGGACTAGTCACCTACTGCTTCGTTGCTTTACCAATTCCATTCACCTCATCTCCCATGGAAGATGGTTTGGACTTTCAAGAAGGACTTGATGATGGAGAGGCCTTCCTTTGCCTGATATTAGAACTCTGAGAACCAACAGAGGAATATGAACAGGATAGCATCATATGCAATTTCAGAAAGAGTTTTATCCAAGTCCGAGATTAAATACAGGAGAGAAAGTTGTGGAGGAAAAAGTTTACCACTTCTCTGGGCATACCAGGAACATCACCAGAAAGGGCAACACCTAGGTTAGGAGCTTCTGTGAGGTTTGCCAGTTCCTCATTCACCAGACATTCGAAGGTAGAAGGATCTGGAGGAATAAAAGCACCCAAATCCATGGGCGAGAAATCAGGAACATTACCAGTTGGAAAGTCAGTAATTGAGCCCTCTCCACATACAGTTTCAGAAGGAACAAACTGACAATTTGGAGAATGCATAACAGACTCAACACAGCAGGTTGTGAGTGACTACACTAGCTTGTAACCTGGGCTTGGGGTTGAATTTCCACCATGCCTTCCTAGACATCAACAAGGATTCCATAAAGAGACAAAAAACTCCGGCAAACAATTAAGAATAACATAGTAGCTAATCTAGCACATAACAGAGGCAATGGTAGTATCAGACATAAAATCTTGAGTCTCCACATCAGGAAAGGATCCAGCTTCTTGAAATTAGTATATATTCTAACCAAATTAATACAAGAAAATACTTGCAAACAAGAAATTCTATAACTTTTACAGAAGTACTGATTTCACCAGTGTCCCAGTTCTTTCACAATCAATCTGAATGCCTCCATTGTTGTTAGAAGATTGAGTAAGAAACTGATCAAGACATTCCAACCCAAAAAATAAGTCCGCATTCTGAAATGGAATCAATGTTGTCAAAATCTACAATAATTTGCACCCAAATTAAAAAAAAAAAAAAAGTCCTGAATTTGCCAATACTATGAATGAACTATAGAATTGTTTCTTTTACCTCTCCAACTGATCTTCCAAAACTAGGATTTGTATTATCACAAGAAGTTGAAACGGAAATCTCGGCAAGCAGAGAATCTGTAACAGCCACTTGGGAAGGGTTTATTACTTGTGAACTCCTACTGTCATCTACAACATTGTCAGGCTGGACAACCTGAACTCCATCAAAGCCAGGGGATGCTAGCGTAGCTGCCTTTTCCATCCTAACATCATTGAGTTTTGAAGGTATTGAACCAGAAGTTTCATCTTTAGTTTTACATTTAGCCTTTGGTTGAAACTTTGCACCAGCATGAGCTGCCAAAATACGCAAAATTTAACTAAAAACATACGCCAAAAAAAAAAAAGAAAGAAGAAACCAACTTTTTGAAGAAAGAAGAAGAAATAATTAAAGCTTTACTTTTCTAACCTTGAGCTAAAACCGGCTCATCCAAAAAAAAAAAAAAATCAGAATCGTCCATTTCAAAATCTGGATTACAACACTTCGAAGCACTTGTCTTCAACCAAAAGCATACAACAAGTAAATGAAATCGACAAAATTTTGTCAAATAAATTAGCGGTAAACTCAGGCATTGTCAAAGATTTTCATTTGTGAGACAGCCAAACAGAGAACAAGATTACCATTCGTGACGAGAATCACAATCAAAACAAAACTCAATTTAAACTGAGTACAAAAATAATAGTTACCGGAGGATCCATCGGAATCCGGTGTGGCTGCCGGGCTTAGGAGTTTTTGATGGTTGAAAGAGTGAGGGTTTCGGTTTGTTACTTTCCTTTTTTCGTATGGATTTTTTTTTATTTTTTATATTTTTTTTACCAAATCTTTTTTTTTTATTTCAAAATAGTATAAAAACACTGCGTCCTTTTTTTCAAGGGGCAGAGAACGAAAAAGGGCAAAAAAAAAAAAAATCTGAAGGAAAATGGGAAGCGATAGGAAGGAAAAGAAAAGCACGAAACGATCAAATTACTCGTCTTCTGCCTCTGAAGGTTAGCTTTAATTTTCAATTTCTCAAAAAAAAAAAAACAGCAATCTTTAATTTTCTCCGTTGAATTGTTTTTTATTTTCCAAATAAACGTCAAAATGGCAATTAAATTACTTTGGGTTTCAACTTTTAAGTAAGATCGCTTCAAAATTTTCACTTGATGGAAGGGTTACTTTTTAGTGTGATTAAATTTGGTTTACTGTAAATTTACAGATGAAAGAAGGGAGAAAAGGCAAAGGAGAGTACCGGAAGAGGAGAGGAAACGCAGGAAGACGAATGATAAGAAAGAGAAAAGGAAAGACAAGAAATCTTACAGCCACTCTTCTGATAAAGGTTTTAACTTTAAGCTTATGAGTTCAAAAATTATTCTTTTCTGGGGTTTGATTATTGAATTTTTTCAGTATGAGTGGCATTTTCTTTACAGGGAAAAGTTTTAAGAATAGGGTTATAGCTGTTTTTATGTTTTTTTTTTTTTTGGAATAGTATATATTGCATTTGTTAACTTAAAATTTTAAAATTCAATTAAGAACAGTTAAATCATACTTTGGAGTGGGAAAAAAAAAATAAAGGAACGATAAATATTCAATTATGAATTGAATGGGGATGTTTATATGTATGTATGTTTTAATGAGCTTCGAGCTGATGCTATTTTACTTGATGTTCTCTAAGAAGGAAGGATTTCTGGGGCGAATCTTTGTATGAGCGATGTAGTTAATCCCATGGCTTTTATAGAAATGTCAATTCAATTGAGATAGCAACACACACATACACACAATACAACTAGTGCAATCTCAAATTGTGTTTCTTAGAACTTCAGCTGTGATGGTACCGTTTAAATGACTTCAGTTAATGTGTTTATTTGCATTAAGTTTTTGACATGTTTTTGAGTCTCTTTGCTCTTGTTTAAAGTTGGAGAATTGATTACGGGAAGGCATGAGATGAGAAATTATGGGTAGATATAGTACTATTAAAAGAAAAGTACAATATCCAAAATTTTTAACTTTGTTAGATTCATGACTTAAAGAGTAAGTTGACAAAGAGGGACCACTGCAGTAATTTGCTTCCAATGATTGAAGTTGAGGATTGTTTTACTTGCATGAATATTATAGTTAAAAGGTTTACTAATAAAATTCTGATAAATTTATTTTTTGAGAATTGTAGTGAATATTCAACTATGTCTTTCTATTGCATCTAAAGGTTGATGTCTCAAGTTCTGTTTGTTGGATTCCCGACTTCACTTTATACCAATTCTTTGGGATATGCATTCTATATTTTACTAAATATATAGCAATGGTCTTTTGATAATGCTCAAGAACTAAAGTTGGTTTGCATTGTTTATGCATGCATTGTGCAAAATAATTATATCACATTGATGTACTTTGCTTGACTCAGAGAAGAAGTCGAAGGAGAAGCACAAAAGTAAACATCACAAAGTTGACCGCCACTCAGTGAGTCCTCTTGTTGTGCTTTATGTGATCAACCTTGATATTTATCAGATTTAAGTTTTAAGTCATAGTTTTCATTAACTGCTGCACCCAAGAATCAGATCACTTCTTAAGGCATGTCATGTCAAATTGGAGGCATGTGGGTGGATTGCAATATATATAATTTGGTCATATCGCTGGTGTAATAGTTCATCCTTCTTTTTTTCGGATGGGGGGGTTGGGTTTGGTTGTCCAAAACAAGGGCCATATTTCACTGTCAAAGCATTGAGGATTCAGATGAACATTTATAATTTAGGATTATCTGTCTACTATCATTCTTGAGGAATGTGAAAACACAGTTACTCTAAGTTCTCATTACATGTAGAAGGAATTATGGTAGTGCTAGATGCTATAATATGTATACCATCTTTCTTGCGCAATGCTGGATGGTTTGAAATCAACCCAAGAATTGCTAGATGTCTTATTGGTAATGTTCTGCAGTAAAGGTGATACATTCCCAGAAAAATAGAAAAGAATATTTTGCTAAGGGATGGAGGAGAGATGATTGTAGTCATGTCTGTTGTATTGGTTGATTAAGACAGCTACATGATGTAGTCTGTTATATTTTGCTTTGTCAAGATAGGTGGGCAAGATGTTGTAAGTTGCCAAACTTTAAAGGGCAGAGTACCCTTTTCATCCCTGAACATTTTCAGATGTTTCATTTAACATGCTTTATACTTTATTCCACTGTTCTTGGGGCCTTTAACAATGTACAAAAAGAATTATATAGATACAACAAAAGAAAAAATAAAATTATCAAATTGAGATTGAGAATTTCATCTAACTTCTTCACTCTTGTTCTATTGGAATCAAGGGGAAAAGACATATATTTATGAAACCAGAGAGCATTGAGTTAAACTTTTTAAATATTAGGGTCATAACTGGACAGTCAGGACTTATGTCTGCATATCTTTTGCCTGCCATTATGGAAGTGACATTAAAACACAGCTTTTATTTTTAATTTATGATGTTTTCAACTACATTCCTGCAGAAACATGGGTTCCAAGAGCTATCCAATGATGACTATTTTTCTAAGAATAATGAATTTGCTACATGGCTGAAAGAAGAAAAACATGTGTTTTTCTCCGATCTTTCGTCTGAGTCTGCACGGGAATTATTCTCAGACTTTGTTAAGGAATGGAACAACCAGAAGCTCGGATCACAATACTATGAAGGCATTGTGAATGGACCACGGACTGCACATAACTGGAAAATCAAACAGTAGGGAGGGAAGAGAGAAACCTTCAGCTACTTGATCCCTACTTGTTTTCTTTCATTTCCACTACTTTTGTATATTCTGATTTGCGGTCTAGTATGGGATGAATTTTGTAGTTTTGCAGTGCACATTTAAATATTTGCATCAGTAGTTCTGATATTTTTCTCCTAGTTCTTCCATGAAAATACTAGGAAAGCCTGAGAGTTTGGCAAAGAAGCTATTTAACCTACATGCTTTGCTCATTTATCAATCTTCTGGCATTGCTTTTAATATATGTTATTAGGGCATTTGTCTCCAGGGGTTTATTTTGGAGAGGAAGAGTAATGGCTAAAGCCAAAGTAAATTGTCTGATCAAAAGCACCAAAAATCCCTACTTCAAAAGTACCATTTAGAAGCACCCAAGTGCTGTTATTTCCTTGTATGTCTGGGCCCTTGGAAGCAGAGGTGCCAGATTAAGATGGATAACCTGTGTTCTTCCTGCTGTTGTGTTAAACCATCTTAGGGTTCAGTCAAATGCTTGCTATCTCATCTTAAACATTGCTTCATCTTTGGTGTTTTGGGTGGTTTCGAGTAGATCCGCTGCTCACCTTTCCCCCAAGGGGGAAGAAACATCAACTGGACCAAAGCTTGTTTGTATTCATCGAATGAACTCGTTTGATCAAATTGGTTGTGTAATGAGCTAAGCTCAACTTCAATGAAATTCAATTAATTTAAGCTTAGACAGGCTGCTTGATTCCAGCAAAATAAAACAATAATTAGCTTGACTTATTTACATTCCTAAATACTATTATAATACTATTTCCATTTAGTAAAGTTAATTATATCACCTAGAGTTGACAAGCTAATGCGATTATGAAAATTTTGTTCAACACAAAAAATTCATTCAATTTATTGAGCTTATTCAATTCGATTTGGAAATAATATGAAAATTTTCAATTTAAATTGAATTAATATATGATTATGAAATGATTCAAATTTTAAAATTTTAAAATTTTAAAAAATTAATATAATTGTAAAATTTAATTATTTATATCCAAAATAATTAAACTGAACACATATAATTAAATATCAAAATATCTAAATTTGACATTATTGGAATATGAAACACTACAAAATAATTTAACTTGATCCATCCAATTTTCACATATAATATCACACTTCATATCGGGTTAAACACAAAATTAATTTGTTCATTTTACCAAAACTAAACTTATGAAAGTCTTTTTTTTATATAGAAAATTTATAAATTCAATGTAAGATTTGGTTGAAATCTATTGTATATCCTATTTTCGGAATGCGGTATTATCTCCTCAACTAAATTTTTAAATATAAAAAGAAAAAGTAAAATTATGGGAGAATATAAAAACCAAAGATGTTTGTGTTCCATTTAACTCCTCGCAAACAAAACAAGAAATACCATTGCCTCTAAATTTTCAACAAAACAAGCAACCAAAGTTCAACTATTGCGTTTGATACAATGTACTTGTATGCTTGAGGTAAAGCCAACGATGGATCTGTTCCGTTAAAAAAAATCTTTTAAAAAATTAATGGTTGAAGTAAAATTATCAAATCAATGCATATATCATCTAGCAGTCAAATTAATAATTTTAACGTTAAAATTTATAAAATTTAATGATTGAAATAAAATTATCAAATTAAAATAATATGAAAATTATATTTATATAATTATAATAGAAATATTAAATTTTGAACTTCGATATAACATAAAGATCATAGACATAATTTAATAAAAAAATAAAATTATTCAAAATAAAATAGAAAATAAAAAATGAACATAAAAAAAAACATAAACCCAACGCAAATCCTTTTTTTTTTTTAAATAAACCAAACGCACTTTGGTTTGATTAGTAGCAATTAGATTTGGTAGTTTCAAACACGACATGTTGATATGATATGAAAATAACACAAAAAAAATCATATATATAGTTTGAAAAACATATTCTGTATTTATTCGTGTGGACATAAATTTTGATATGACATAATTTATATCTTATACGTAATGACACATCTAAATGTCATGCACCGGATGAGCACATTAGAGCCAAGGACTGGACACCAGTGGCTAAGGCTTGAGCACCAAAGATAGAACCTAAAGTTCACATAATAATCATGTTAGAAGCATCAGGCCACTCGCACCATATCCAGTTCCACTCGTAGCTCCAAGTTCAAGCCCACAACATGTCCGCATTGTATCTAAAAGGGCCCAAGGAGAATGTTGTAGACCCAAAACCATTTAAAAGGGTTAGGAATTGGGAATATTCCCTTAATGTGCTACAATATACCCCCAAATCAGGGGAGGATCCGGTCAATCCCTAGGATCAGGGAGATATGATTGTAATTTGAATTTAAACTTTGTAATCCCTTGATATTAGGAACTGTCATAGTAGTGTTAGGGCCTCAAGTATAAATAGAGGGCCACATCACCTTTATTTGTATCATTCAACACTTGTGAAATACAAAGAGCATTCCATCTTATTCCCTTGTGTGCTTAGCTTTCATATTTTGCATTTCGATGTTCTTTAAGTGCTCGCTCACTTGAGTTTCATAAGTTAATTTAGGCATACAACGTCAATTCTCTGTCTAAGGCTACATAGTATTTGACTTAAGACTGAAGCTCGTGATAGTTAGTATCATAGTAGGTTCTACTTGAAGGTTGTGTTCGGGTCATACTCAAGGTGTTTGAGGAAATGACATCTCAAAGTGACATTGCTAGCCAACAGTTAGAGGCCTAGAAGTTGAGTAGTAGAAGGGGCAAGAAGGCAAGCTCGAAAGACTTTTAGTCTACCATGGATAGACATGTCCAAGCTGGAGGTGACAGTAGCCGATGTAAAGGAAAAACTTAACAAGGTAAAGACTCACATTGAGGATCTGAACTCTATGGAAGAAGCATTCAAAGGTGAGATACAAGCTATTTTTAACAAGATCATCAACATGTTCACTTAGAGGAACGAGGCCTTAGAGGCCCTAGTAAAGACCATACACAAAGAGATTAAGGAGCTTAAGAGAAAGCTCATTGCTTGCAGAACAATCATTAAGAATAACGTAATCGTTGGAATGCCTAAACATCGTGTGGATGTCCTTAAACCCAAAGAGTTCAAAGGGACTAAGGCTGTTAAGGAAGTGGATAACTTTTTATGGGGAATGGACTAATACTTTTGAGCCACTGCATGTAATATGATGCCACTAAAGTAAGCACTGCCTTAATGTATCTTACTGATGTTGCTTTGTTATGATGGAGGTACAAGTCCAATGATGTGAGATGTAGTGGTACCTTAAATGGAGCTTAGGAGGAGTTTCGAAAGGATTTTAAATAGTAGTTCTACCCTAAGTACACTAATGATGAAACACAAGAGAAATTGTGTAAGCTTACTTAATAAGGTAAGATATGATAATATGTCCAGAAGTTCTCTGAGTTAATGTTACAGATTTCATATCTAAGCAAGATCGAGGGTCTTTTTGCTTTCATAGATGGACTTAAGCCATGGGTAAAACACGAGCTACAAAAGAAAATAGTCTATGATCTAGCCAAGGCCATAATAACTACAGAGTCTTTGGTGGAGTTTAAGCCACAGGACATACTCGAGTTTTCCAAGTCTAAAAGGAAGGGTAAGGTTAAGAGGGACCAGGAGTGACAGTCCAAGGGTAAAAATCGTGACTGACAAGCTAAAGATGGGGAACGAGATCATTTGTCCAAGGTGGCTTGGGGAAGCCACCATTAGGAAAGTGGAAAGTTAGGAAAGACAATGAGTTAATCACTTGCTTCCTCTGTGGTGGGCCACATATAGCACGAGACTACCCCAAAAAAGGCAAGTTGGCTACCATAGATAAAGGGCAAGGTCACTAAACTAAGATCGTTCCTTGGATTGGTTAACTATTATCGATATTTCATCAAAGGCCACTCATCCATTAACAGACCATTGACTGATATGCTAAAAAAAAAGAGTATGGGACTGGAGCTCTAAGAGCCAGTAGGCCTTTGATCAGTTAAAGCAGACAATAACTGAAGAGCTTGTCCTAACCTTGCCAGACCATGCCAAACCATGTAAGGTGTATACAGATGCATCAAACTTTACAATTGGGGGTGTATTGATATAAGAGAACCATTCGATTGCATTTGAGAGCTGAAAGCTCAATAAGATAGAGTACAAATACATAATCTAAGAGAATGAGATAACAGAAGTGGCATACTACTTGCGTATTTGACGACACTACTTGTTGGGATAGAGGTTTGTGGTCAAAACTGATAACATTGCAACTGGTTACTTTTAAACCTAAAAGAAGTTATCCCTTAAGCAAGCTCGTTGGCAACACTTCATTGTAACATTTGACTTTAGTATACAAAATAGGCCTGGAAAGGCCAACACAGTGGCTAATGCCCTTAGTAAAAAGGTGAGCTTTGCTGCCATTAACCAACTTAAAGGGTTTTTAATGCTACGTATTGAGAAGGGCTATCTTATAATCCTATAGCAAAGAACTTTATCAATTATGCCAAGTAAGGTAAGATAAGACGATATTGGCTATAGGATAATCTAGTGTACACCAAGGGTAATCAGTTGTTTGTGCCTTAGTATGAAAAACTCTATAGAAAAGTTATATAAGAGTGCCATGATTCGAAATAGGCTGGTTACCCAAACATGTACTACATTTTAGCCTTATTAGAGGATCGTTACTATTGGTTGTGCATGAGAGATATGAAGACCTATTTTGTGTGTCAGCAAGACAATGGAATTCAAACCACTAATCGATCTCTTAAAGCCTTTACCCATATTAAAGCACCCATGGGAGAGTGTCACTCTGGATTTCATAGCCAGTTTACCCAGGGTAGAGAGGTTTGAGAGCATCATGGTAATGGTGGATAGATTTTTAAAGTATGAGACATTCATTCCAACAACCAAATAGTGCCCAATTGAGAAGGTAGCTTGTTTGTTCTTGAAGAATATAATGAAGTATTAGGGAATACCACAGACCATTGTTAATGATTGAGATGGGCAGTTCACAGGGTGATTCTGACTGAGTTGTTTAAACTATTGGATTAGACTTGAACTTTTTCACCAACATGCACCCTCAGATTGATGGGCAAACTAAGCAAGTAAATAAATTGTTGGAAGTCTATCTTAAGCACTATGTGAGTGCCACACAATGGGATTGACCAAAGTTGCTTGATATTGCCTAGTTCTCATACAACCTATTGTTGAGTGAATCACCAAACTAAAAGCCCTTTTGAGATCGTGATAGAGTAGTAGCCACTCACATTAGGTTTGGTTATAGCAAGTTACATAAGGCCAAATCTAACAACATGCAAGTTTGCCAAGGCTTGGTAAGAGTAAGCAAACCTAACTAAGATTTGTCTAAACAAAGGCATTAGGTTTGGTTATAGCAAGTTACATAAGGCCAAATCTAACAACATGCAAGTTTGCCAAGGCTTGGTAAGAGTAAGCAAACCTAACTAGGATCTGTCTAAACAAAGGCAACAAAGAAGTCCAATAAGTGGGCAGACTAAAAGAGAAGGGACGTATAGTTTCAAGTGGGAGAGTTGGTCTTGGTGAAGCTGAACCTCATTATGCATGACAAGGGTTTGTGTAAGGGCCTAATTTGAAAGTATGTGGGACATTTTAAAGTTCTAAAAAGGGTAGGCAAGATTGCCTACAAGTTGAATATGCCACCAAAATTGAAGGTACACTTAATTTTTCATGTCAGCATGCTTAAGCCTTTCCATGAGGACCAAAAGGACCCAGGACGGGCAGTGTCACAGCATGCATCATTAAGAGCCAAAGCAATATATGAAAAGAAAGTTCAATGCATTCTTGTTAACTGGGTTGTGAGGTGGCAAAGTTATAAACTAAGATAGTAATAATTGGTGTAATGGAATTGGCTTCAAAACAATAAGGCTAGTTGGGAGCTAGCTGAGGATCAATGGTAGTTCGAGGATCAGATCAAGCAATTCTATGCAAAAGATGCAATAAAGATATCATGAGATTAGGTGAGGGAGAATGCCATATACCGAACACCAACAATCAAGGCTTAAGCATTAGAGACAGAACTTGAGGTTCAAGCAATAGTCATGTTAAAAGCATCAGGGCCGTCCACACCACAACCAATTCTACCCACAACACCAAGTTCAACCCCCTGACATACCCACACCACATCTATAAAAGCCTAGGAGAGTGGTGCGGACCCAAAACCATTTAGAAAAGTCAAGGCTCGAGAATATTCCCTGAAAGGGCTACAACATACCCTTAAATCAGGGGAGGATCCAGTCAATCCCTAGGATTAGGGAGATATGATTGTATTTTGATTTTAAACTTATAATCCCTTGATATTAGGAACTATTATAGCAGTACTGGGGCCTCAAATGTAAATAAAGGGCCACCTTACCCTCATTTGTATCATCCAACACTTGTGAAATACAAAAAGCATTCTAGTGCATTCTTTTGTGTGCTTACCTTTCGTATTCTGCCTTTCAGTGTTCTTTAAGTGCCTGCACACCTGATTTTGTAGGTTGATTTAGGCATATGGAATCAATTCCCCGACTAAGGTAACACAAAGTTTGGCTTAAGACCAGAGCCCATCACATAAACGTATGTCTGACACGAAAAACATGTTTAGAAAAATATGTCATATGGACACACGTTTAATATGTGATACAACACGAAAAACATGTTTAATTTAATGTTATTATACGAGTACACATGTAACATATTTAACATGTTTAACATATTTTTTATATTTATTTTAATTTTTAATTTTTAATTTTTTAATTATGATACTTAATGAACTATTGAATACTATATAAAGATTATTTTAAATATTTAATTATGATACTCATTCAATAATTATTATAACATTATTTTTTATATTAATAATATAAATATTAATAATTATTATATAATTATTTTTTATATTAATAATATAAATACTATAAACATTAATATTAATCCTATATAATATTGTTTTGTTATTTAATCTTTAATGGTTCATTATTTTAAATTTGATACTAAAAATTAATATAATTATGTAATATATCTCAAAATTTAAATATATTTTAAATGCTTATTAAATGGATATGAAAATTTTTTATTTTTTAATATACAAGTATTTTTTTATTTTATTAATATATCAAGTTTATTAAGTTATAAATGATAAATAATTTATAATTATATATTATTTTAGTTGTGTTTTTATATATATATTCATATTAATTATGTTTATTTGTGTATATTCATATTATTCGTATTTATTCGTATCATATTTAAATGAATTAATTATATACATATTAATTATATCGTGTTATTATAACATATATAATAAATATATCATATTTATATTTAAAATTTAAATATATTTTATAATTTATGTCATATTTATATTTTAATAGTTTATATCATTAGTATCGTCAAACATGACATGGAACACCGCGGGGAAAACTAATTGCCAGGTGGCGACGCAACCCTTGTACAGATTTTCTGTTCCACGAGTCCCTAACCGCCAAACAGAAAAACCCTAGCAGTTTGAACCCACGCTCCACCGCTTAACTCTCTGTCCTACACGCGCTGTCAAGTAAAAGCTTCTTCAAACCTGAACAAAGATGGCTGAAGAAGAGAAGGAAGAAATTAAGTCTTTTAAAGATTTAGGTTTATGCGACGAATTAGAGGAAGCCTGCGACAGTTTAGGTTGGAAAACCCCTACCAAAATCCAAGTCGAAGCCATTCCCCATGCTCTCGAAGGTTCACTTCTTACGATCGCCGCCTTTCCTTTATCTTTTAAATTGTTTTAAATTGAATTTTTATCTATTTTTTTAAATTTTGTTTGGATTTTTGTATTGTAGTGAAGGATTTGATTGGACTTGCCCAAACAGGTTCGGGTAAAACAGGGGCGTTTGCTCTTCCCATACTGCACGCCCTTTTGGAATGCCATGGGAAACAAGGATATAAATCTGCACCTGCATTTTTTGCTTTGGTGCTTTCCCCAACACGGTCTGATATCGGAATGAAAATTTCTTTTATTGTTGAGTTTTGTTAGTTTAATCAATAATTTGTTATTGCAGGGAGCTTGCTATTCAAATTGTGGAACAATTTGAAGCTTTAGGATCTGGGATTAGTCTAAAATGTGCTGTGGTAAGCTTCCAGTCGAAATACACCTTATTGTTAGTTACTTTAAAATGGTTTTTGTTGGCTGTCTAATAGGATTGAGATTTCATTTTTGATTGGTTCTTAATTTATTCTTTACATGTTGAAAATTTTGTCTGACAGACTTGTTTGCCTCTTATTTTATGCTTTTTGTAAATGAATTTTTTCTTTTGCTTAAGTTTTGGTTCTTAATTTTGAAAGCTTGTTGGAGGAGTGGACCTAATTCAACAACAAATTGCCATTGGAAAGCGGCCACACATCATTGTAAGTTCATCTGTTCTCCTCATGCCATATTATCTAAAACTTTTGTGCTATGAAGCTAATTGGAGCCGAAACAGTCCAAGTTAAGTAGACCTATGTGAGAAGTTTTGATTGTAATTATAGAGCTCCAGATAAAAGTAAAGACTAAAATTGATTGTAAGCCTATGAGTGTTAAGTTTATTGATACCTTCCTTAAGTTGTTTATGTTCTAAGATGCAGTGACAAAGACTATGCTAAGTGGTTTCCAGTATACTTATGCTTGTTTAACCTGTGGCCACCGTAGTCCTTTTCTTTAATCTTGGTCGACTGGTTGACTGCTGTATATGGGTGACCCTCCCTTGTATGACACTAATGTCATCTGGGTTAGCAAGGACCTCCAGTTTTCTTTTATGATTTACTTGCAAAGCTTTAGGATCAGGGCTATGGAGCTTAGTGTTGCTATGCCCGTGAGTTTATTTAGATGATATTATGTGTTTCTATGTTCATGTTGATGGAAAAACTTTATTTAGATTTTAAAAGATATTCTGTTAATGGGAATAACCATCCTTAAAAGGAAAACCCTGAGAGAAATATATCAGTATCCTGTTGTTTTGAGTAGCTACAATTTTTAGGACTGACATAGACAACTGATGAAGAAATAAGTATCTAAGAGAGAAGAATACATCTGAATATTGTTTTTTATGATACCCGAAATTTAATTGTTACCCTCTAGGTTGGGACTCCTGGACGCCTTGTGGATCACCTGACCAATACTAAAGGTTTTTCCCTTCGCATGCTGAAATATTTGGTAAGAGTTTCTTCTCCTTCTTCCTCCATATTTTTTTTTCCATTTTCCTTGGTTGGAGTGGTTGAATTCAATATCCATGATCATGTTCCTATTTTGTGAAGGATTTTTTAAAATCTTTTTCCACCCTTCCACTCGAGATATCCCTTCTTTATCTTTTTAGCTATAATAAATATATTTTATTTTATGTCTTAACGGTTTCAGCGCTTACACCATCTGTTAGATTGCTTTTCCATTGTTCACTACCAAATTCTACTTTGGTCGTCATCAGTTTGACCTCGATGATATGAATGCCAATGTCTTGCATGGCATTTTAAAACAGATTCAATGCAGCCATATTAGAGTTGTTGCTTGATATAGTTTCATATTATTAACCTGGATATGAGTAATAAAATTCCTATTTCCTTACATTCATCATTGACTGTTAGATATGTATGTATATGTACTGCTGAAATAATATGTGCATGTATTGGCAGGTATTAGATGAGGCAGATAGGTTACTGAATGAGGATTTTGAGAAAGCACTTGATGATATTTTGAATGTTATTCCTCGTGATAGGCACACATATTTGTTTTCTGCAACCATGACCAAAAAGGTATGTATTGAAAGTAAAAAATATTTAATGTATTCAATAAGAAACATGTACTTCATATACCATTTTCCATTTCATATCATTAATTACCATTGTGGATATGGAGGAAAACTATTAGAATAAAGACTTCCTTTTGTCATGCTTACTGAGAATATGATCTTGACTTGAGCACATTGGTGCAATATGATCTATATACCTAACCCTATGTAACCTAATCAAGGGCTTAGTTTGATTTTGTTGGTTACTGTTAGTCCATATCTGTGCAAAAAGCTGCAAGTAGTTTGTTGGCTGCATTTTGTTGATGTTCTACTTGTATGCACATGATTTCTTATTAGGATTTGAAATTCTTTATACATTATTCACTTTGATCCTGTGGATAAGGATGTTTCTGTTTTTCTCCTTTCATGTTGCTCTGGTCAGCATTCTGCCATCAGGGAACATCTGTTGCTCCATCTAGAGCATATTTATTTGCCACAAAGATATTTACCAGATACTAAAAATCTCTATAGTCTGTAGACTGTAGTTTTTGTGAAGATATGTCAGTTCTATTAACTTGTGAAAATTGATTATTCTTGGCCTGAGCCTGGTTTTGCCAATGAATAATGGTCTTTTTAAAGTGATAATTACAAACTTTATCCTTCAAATTCTATTCAAATTGTAATTTATTATAGTTTCCAAGTGTCATGTTTCTTCCTTATTGATAACAAGTAATGGTTCACAAATTGTTGGCAATTACCACATGAATGGCAAAGGGAATCATACAGTCACTAATTAATTTTTGTTTCACACTCTATCCGAAGGTCCACCCCCCTCTTTTTTATTGCTTTAATTTCAATTTCATTTATGCAGTAGAAAGAACCAAATAAGGTGATTAAATTGCAAGATTAACTTAGTGTAATGAAATTTCTCAAATTGTGCATTGGTTTGAAGATAGCATAATTGAATATGTTGACAGCTTTACATTTCATTTGGTTTGAATTATTATTATTATTTTTTAAATTTTGTACGAGAGGTCAGGCGAAATTGGAACTAGATGTTATGATACTATTTTGGGCTTCACTAAGTAACTAAGCATATAATAAGTATGTATAGTTAAGAACTTATAACTAATTCTGTCACATTTTATGATATTCATATATACCTAACCAAAGCATAGTGTATTAAAAAAATTAAGTATTATTTAATCTATAGTTTATTTTTTAGATGTATATGAGCAATGTGCTGTGCTGCACATTTGACAATGCTCTGTAGCCTCTAGTTATTTCTATAGTACATATGAATAGCCCACAGCATAAATATTACCGTTTTTAGATGTTTAATACTTGTAAGTAACATGCTAACTTTCCATCTAGTGTGCAATCCTATATTCAGTAACATTTTGAATAGGCAATATACTGAGTCAAAAGGGGAAAGTAAAGCTTTCTTCTCATAATTTGTCAGATAAAAATTTATTGAGGAAAGCTGGTGCTGAAGGAAATTTATTGAGGGAAAGCATGTGTTAAAGGTGAATAGAATCATTTAGCTAAAATTTGAGACTGTATGTACCGGTATTAATGCCAAAATCCGACATTAACCATCAATGCCATTTTAATCAAACTTATTTGGATCGGTCCACCCATATATAGGATGATTTATTTTTTGAGAAGGAATCTAAAATTGAAGTGCAGAATCATTTTTAGAGCACATCTATGAGAGATGCGTGTTCATTACACAGTATTTTCACAATTTGATCTGATTTTTGCATTATGTATGGCTTTACTTCGCTGGTGAAAGTTACACCATAATATTTGTTGATGTTGCAGGTGAAGAAGCTACAAAGGGCATGTCTGAGAAATCCTGTGAAGGTTTGATCATACTATTTATGCAAAAAATTTTCAGCATTCTTCATTTTATTTTTAATGTTTTAAAACTTTGTGTTTGTTCTTTCTTTTTCAGATTGAAGCAGCATCTAAATATTCCACTGTTGACACATTGAAGCAGCAATATCGCTTTATACCTGCAAAGTACAAGGTGCCTAATCTTCTTAGGATTAATTTTCTTTCAAATATGTGAAATGTCACATGGATAATCATCTTTGTGATGATTGTCATGATGGTTTTGTACTGAAATTCTATATATTTTTGAGAGAGATCAAGTTATTGAAAAGGATTGAGGGAAACTTTTTGGTCCATGTTAAACTAGATGGACTCTTTTTAGTCTTGTGAATGCCATTGAGTTTGTTAGAGTAGTTTTATGAAAATAATATATGAATTACCCAAGTATTTGTCCAATGGTACTGCCTGTGTTATAGGCCCAATGTAGTACTACTTGTGACCAACAAACAATACTCTTTATAATCTTCTAGAATACTTATCCTGCAGTCTAGGTAGCAAACTTATTTATGAGGCCTAGATGTGGTCACTATAGCACCTTGTGTGCGAAGGTTCTAGAATAGGATTTGGAGGTTTTAGCTTGACAACACCTGCCTATATCTTGTACACTATTAGGAAGGCTTTAGACATTCAATGCTCTAGAAGGTCTATAAAAGACCCGTAGGATGACTTTAGGGTTGGAGTGTTCTAGAGTTCTTGTAATACACAGCCACTTTAGCCATGGTTATACGTTGTAAAGGACCTTTCCTATATAATGGGATCCCCTTCATTTTTACAACAGCTAGTTTAACAATATATACTTGGCACTTACACTCTCTTGCTTTTGTTTTGCTCTAGCAATCATCTAGTGTGAGTGCCAGCACTATATAGTTTTGAGTAGAAGTCTAGTGTGTGGTTAACAGAGGGTGACTTAGGCATACTTGGGTGTGGTATTTGGCCTTGTGGGCTACTTAAGCTTGCATCCACTTATTGTATAGGTATGCAACAATGCTCACATATGGGTGCTACCGTACCCGCACCTAGGGCCTTCTAGATCCTTTTGTTGTTTGGATTATAAGTGGATGGATGACAAAACCTAGCTACAAAATTCTCTAAAACCTTTTACAAGGCCAACCTTGCAGTCTAATAGCAAAAGGATATAGAAGACTAGGATTTGGGCACTGTGGCACCCTCATGCAGGGAAGGTTCAGGAACACTATAGCACTAGAGCCTTCCTATGTGTCTTGTTGAGACCTTCTAAAGCTTTAGGTCAACACCAAATAGTGCTAGCAGTTACACTAGAGGATTGCTAGAGCAAAATGCTAGCAAGAGAGTGTGACTGCTTCTAAGTGTATAATATTGAATGAGTTGCTATATCAACGTAAATAGAGGACTCTTTATATATGAGAGGTCCCTTATAATGTGCGGTTAGGGTTAACCAAGTGGTTGAGTATTATAAGGTTCCCGAACACTCCAGCACTAGAGGCTTTCTTAGGGTCTTCTGCAAACCTTCTAGAGTTTGCAGTGTCTAGAAATTTCCTAGTACTGTACAAGATATTTACAAGTGGATGTTGTCAGGCCAACGCTTCCATACACTTTTCCAAAACCTTCTCGAAGTACTGTACAAGATATTTACAAGTGGATGTTGTCAGGCCAACGCTTCCATACACTTTTCCAAAACCTTCTCGAATAAGGGTGCTATGGTGTTTGCACCTAGGGCTTTCTAGATCCTTTTGTTGCCTGGACTACAAGTTAAGCCTTCTTAGGGTTTTAAGCTTCAGAGAGTTCTGTCTGCAAATTCCATAGGGATCACAAACTGTGCATCACAGTCGTGCTGCACAGCCACTCACATCTAGTGCTGTTGTAGCAGGCTATGTGGGATTAAATCCATCAGCATGTAGATTTGCCGAGCTTTGCCAGGAGTTGATTGACTTGGTATGAGCTTGTCTAAACTCTCACTTGCTGTTCTCTTCTAGTTGCCCGTGGCAGCAGTTCCACTGCTGGCAGTGTCACTGTTCTTATTTTTTTTCTCGTCTCTTCTTTCTTCTCTTTTTCTCTTCCAAATCCCTCTCCAACTTCCTCACACCTCTCTTTTCGATCTGCTTCTTTTGTTGGCACTATCACTGCTTTGGCAGCATCTTTTTTGGTGGGGTCTTTGCTAACAAAAGCTAACTTAGCTATATTTGGATTTAAGTATTTAGCCTAAGATTGCACAACATGGGCAACTTAAGCTGCCAACTTGTGAAACATGCATATCCCTGATCTGAGTTAAGATCTCCCATATATATATATATATATCTATATATATATTATATATGATGTGAGAATAAATATGGTTTCCAGATTCACTTCATTTCTTAAATCGTCCCATCACATTCTATTATTAGATGATGAGAACTTGTGATTCATATGGTTTTCTCATGTTGGAGCCTATTTTTATTAAAAGTGGTTTCAAAAATGAAAAGCAAAATAGTCTAATATTATTGGAGAAGGGTCTTACGGAGGTACATAGAGCTATAGTTAGGATCTGTATATCAAGGCTAGGATATATTTGCTAGCAAAGGTTGGAAGCTAGCAAGCTGCCAACAAAGTTAGGATAAAGTTTCCAGTTGATGACATAAATTCTAGCAGCAGTACTATAGAAAACTAATATTTCAGCTGGTTGCATTATTCACACCTGAGTAATCAGAAAGTTCTTACGGGTTGGTCATGGGATTATTGGCTATAGGAGTAGTCTAATATTGTGTTGCTTGGAGCATCCATTTTTAGTTGATTTATATATTGTTCAGACTTGACTTTTGGTGAAGTACTGTGTAAACATGGCTTGACATAGATATGGGTACCGGGTCTGATGGTTTCACCAGATTTGGTAGGCAACAAAAAGCTAGAAATTTTTTCAAAATTGGCGCCCTACCTAGAGCTTTCTTGTTTACTTTCCTCACCTTTCTGAAATTGCATGCATCCCATAGAGCAAACAGATAAAATTTGTTCTTAATAAAGGAAAATGAAAAACAAAGATGGAAAGGGACACTATTTTTGGAAGGCTGTTATGGCCTAGAGTCACAGAAAAATGAAGCTGGATCTGGAAAGAATGATGAGATTGAGACAGAAAAGAAAGGAATAGAAAAATATCCATAAACGAGATTGTGCTGGGGTGGGTGAATGTGAAGGTTGGGCTTTAATATTTTATAGATTGGGTCTGAATTCTGTCAGCTGTTCTGCCAGCATATTTTTCCTTTTGCTTTGATTATCATATGGGGCTGTTTACATAGTTTGACCAAATTCAGTGAATGAGACTTGAAACTAGATGGTATTTTGTGCTTTAATTTATTTTTGTTCTTTAGGCTCGCAAGTGGTTTGATTTAATGATTTTGTTTTGTTTTTAAGACTCAACCAAAATACTAGTATTATGTATAACTTTACATCTTAGTACCATTGTTTGAACAACTAATTTCCACACCCATACTCTTTCTTGACCTCTTTATAGCGGTATACAACTTTCTATATTTCCAGGAAACTGGCATGTTAGATACTTATATTCATTCCCACACTCCAGTTTGAGCAACATAGGTTATCACATGAACTAGGGCTGGGCATCTTGGACATACTTCAAAGATTAAAATAAGTTTCCATTTGTGCTAATGGGTATGAGTTTTCATGCCATATCATTGCATGCGTTGTGGTTGAATAGGGAGTTTACTTTTTGTAGCAGGCAAGTACATGGTAATCTAGCCATGGTAATCCTTTTTTGTTAGTTCTGGAAATGGACAAAGCTTGAAAGATCTTATCATTATTTCATTTCTATGTCCCGTTAAATGTCTATTTATATATTTTATTTTTCTGTGATTGCAGGATTGCTATCTTGTTTACATTTTGACTGAAATGTCAGGATGTACATGTATGGTTTTCACTCGAACGTGTGATGCAACTTGTCTTTTATACTTTATTCTTCGGAATCTTAATATATGGGCCATTGATTGCTATCTTGTTTACATTTTGACTGAAATGTCAGGATGTACATCTATGGTTTTCACTCGAACATGTGATGCAACTCGTCTTTTATCCTTTATTCTTCGGAATCTTAATATACGGGCCATTCCCATTAGTGGTCAAATGACTCAGGTATGTCTTTATTTTGGTGATGTACTGATTGATGCTTTTGCTCGACAAATGTGGAGTGCAACCTCCCCTCCTAGTGCAACCGACATCTTGAACCACTCCCCTCTTTTCTTTCTATCATTATTTGCAAGAACTTTGTTAACATAATGTATTTGACAGTCAAAGAGGCTTGGAGCCTTGAATAAGTTCAAGTCTGGGGAGTGTAATGTTCTTGTTTGCACTGATGTGGCTAGTAGAGGACTTGACATTCCATCTGTGGATATGGTTATTAATTATGATATCCCTACAAACTCTAAGGTTAGACTTACACTATCTTTTTATTTGGTTTAACTTGTTTCAGCCACGTCAGACCTTGAAAAAACTGTGCATTCGTTTATTCTATCAATTGATCTGGGTTTTTAAAAAGATAGTCATAAAATCTTTGCGCTAGTTCTTTTGCTGCCCTTTTTTCCTCCTCTTTTTGGCTAATTTTTAAGAGAGTACAGAATTACATCCATTGAGTGGGTAGAACAGCTCGAGCAGGACGATCTGGTGTTGCAATCTCACTAGTGAATCGGTATGAGATGGAGTGGTATCTGCTGATAGAAAAGCTTATTGGTATGCCACAGTAGCTAAATTTGTTGCTTGGATGTTGCTTGGGTAGCTTGTTCATCAGACTAACGTTTTTTGTTATCTGTATTCCAGGAAAAAAGTTACCTGAGCATCCTGCTCAGGAAGAGGAAGTCTTGCTACTGTTGGAAAGTGTCACAGAAGCCAAAAGACTATCGCAGATGGTAATCAAAGTTCCTTTTTATTTTTATCTATAATGTGATGTTATTTGATTTGATTATACCCTGCATTGAAAGCACTTTCTATGTTTCTGCTTTATCTTCTTATTGTTAGTGTTCTAATCATTTGGTTTGTGGAAGTAATAGCTAGATCAGCTTGGTCTTGTGCTTATATAATAAGTTTGGTTGCTTTGTTCTAGTGTTTGATATTTTACCTGAAGATGTAGTTTTTCTTGCTTCTTTTATTTCACCTTAAGAGTTGATTGTGTTTCTTTCCTCTTTGCGGTGGAGTCACCCTTTTGCATGTGTTCCTGGTTCTATAGTATTTTGATTTTAATTTGAATTTCAAAGCATCTTTTTTTTAACTCCTTTCTTGGATAACACATTTTTTCTAATTAATGAAATTTGAACATCCACAGAAACTTAAAGAAATTGGAGGCACAAAGAAGAGAAAGGGTGGAGATGATGATGAAGAAGATGTAGAGAGATATCTAGGCATAAAAGGCAAGTCCTCCAAGAAATTTAAGAAAAAATGAGACTGGATGCTTTTGATGTTATTCTTGTCTCTCGTTAACTTGGCTTTGACTAAGATGGTGGATTCAGGTTAGCTTAAATTTTGATAGTGTAAGATATTCGACATTACCTTTATTCGGAAAAGTAAAATAAAAAATGGAAAGAGAATAAGGGAAGAATTCTATTTCTTTTATTTTTCAACTTTATTTTGGAAAGGGGGGGGGGGGGGGGGCAGGGTGAAGTTATTGTAGAAAACTCAGATTAAATGAATTACATGTGTATTTCCTTAATAATCTTGTTATAAAATTTTATTGGCGACAGTTTTCTAAATCATACTATCTCCTTTATCATAGTGGATAAAATGTGAAAGGAAATTATGACTTGCATGTGTTATGCATGGCACCAGCTTTCATCTTGTGCCAGAATTGAATTCTCCCTGAGATTCATAGTTGCATTAGTTATAGCTTTCTTTGTTTGATTCAGAATCGCATTACTTATAGCTTTCTTGTTCATAGACAAAGCCGGTTTGGAATTTTGTTTCATTCCATTGCCAATTCTATAGAAGTGTAATAATAACAGCACCCTGAACTTCTGATGTGATTGTGATTGTGATTATGATTGTGATTGTGATTGTAATTGTAATTCTAGCATGATGAAAGATAGAAGCTGCAATTGCAGTTTATGAGTTCATATTTCTTGCATGGGTCTTTAGGAAATAATTTAATGTTGCCTAAAATTAGATAGCAATTTTTATTGCAATTGTTATGATTTTGCAATCACAATTTCAACAGTATAATTGATAATAGAGTTTGAGGAGGGTGAATAAAACTTTCATAAGAAATCAGAAAACAGTATAAATTGATGAAAAAAGAGTTAACCAAACAAGTGAGAATGGAAGAAAGTACACAAAGATTTCTTATTCTTGGATGGTTCTTCATCCTATTACCAGAATAGAAGCTGAAAGCTTTTCTTATTAGCTCTTAGTTACAAACCCAAAGATTTTACATAAATAGGAGACTATAAATAGGTTATTATAATTTAATTTTGAATTTGGCTTCTACATTTTCAATTTTATTGATTTTTGAATGAAATAATGAAATTGATGAAAGTTTGTTACTTGCATTAATATAATATTCCATGAAAATTTTTAATTATGTTATTTTTAATTCAAAAATCAATAAAATTTAATGTCTAGTGCCAAAACTCAATAAAAATTAAAATATAATGACAAAATTCAATATATCGAATCATAATAAAGTGACAAATTTTATTTGAATCCCGTGATTATCTGAGCATATCTTAAATTTGCCGAGGATTTTAAGAAATTATAATATAACATTAGGTTTCAAATAAACTTGCCAATGAAGTGAGTCAAGCTTTGGGTAAGATTTTTTAAGTTCAAATCCGCCAATAATTTTAAAATATTTAAAAATATTAAATGTTAATATAACAATATCCATAATATTTTAATAATTGTCTTAAATGAGTATTTATGGATGGTTGAGCCCTGTATAAGTGCTTTGAGGTGCTAGTCATCAGGTTTAGTGTGACCTGCCCTAATTCATGTACAACTTAGCTTTAAATAAGACATATAACAATTAGAGTTTAATTTTTTAAGATTTTTTTATAAAATTATAAGTACAAGAGAAATTATAATCATAATCAAATATTATATTTACATATAAAAAATAAATGAAAATAGAAAGTTGAACCAAACTCCTTTACAATGAAACTTAAACCTAAAACCCTAAGATTTTAAAGTCTATTCTTTACCACTAAACCAAAATTTAGTGGATTTTATTTTAATATTTAAGATTCAAATCTTGAAAAGGAGAAAGGGAGGTTTACACATGGGATGGCTTTATTCCTTTATGTAACTCAAATCCATTGAATTTCACTATACCAAAAAGAAAACAAGATCTAACACTTTGGAATTAGGCCTTAAATTAGGAGGAAATCTTAAAATGAGAAAGGACATGTCGTCCATTTAACCTGAAATAGGAAAGATATTACTTGAAACTAGTTCCTTTGTATAAGGGTGGATCCTCCTGAGACAGGAGCTCCTTTGCTGGTCCATACGGTTTATCTCTGTAAGCAGGAGTTGGAACAAAGAAACATGCAGCAGAGATTCTTGGACCCAGTCTTCCAGCCATTACTCTAGGTGCAACACTTTTGAACCTGTCATTTGATACAATCTTCGAAACAGATTTTTCAATTGAATATTATATGTTATCATATTGGAAAATGGAGCTATTTTTGTTAAGCATAATAGTTCTACAAAAACATAATAACTAGCTAGAAAGATTCAAAGATCTAAGCATCTTTTATTTGACAAAAATTGGAAGAAAAATATGAACCCAATTTTTTATTCTTTTTAAACAATTCGGTGAGGGAATCCAAAATATTATTTGGCCTAATTCCTACTCGAGTGATTTTAAAAACATATTTATTTTATATTTAATAATATATTTAAAATTTTATTTTTGAAGTGATGAATTTTGAACTCGATAAATTTGATTAAGGAATTATACATCTACCATGAGCCAAATGTTCAGGGTGCATAATTAAAAAGTTTATAATTAAGTCATCGTGTATATATATATTTGCCCTTATAAAAGAACAATTTACTATACTATTGAAGTTATATTAACATTCATAGGTAAAAAGTCTCCATGGCGTGGGAGAAGTGGGAAGTCTTGGTTTTTCCTTGAAGTTCTTCCCAGGGTTTTTGCTTTCCTTAAAACCTTTGGGTAGTTAGTTTTATGTTTAATTTTCGGTTGTTTTGAAAGAGTTGTGGTAGGTTTTTTTTATAGTTCTAACGATTAGAAGCAGCTTTGAATGGCGGATGAGTTGGACGATCCATGGAGGCATCTCTTCTTTACGGAAGAAGAATTATTTGTTCAGCCAGAAGAGAGTATTCTAGAGGAGGCAAGTGATGATGAAAATAAATGGATGATAGGAAAACTTCTAACGACAAGATCCTTCAATAAAGAAGCCATGATGAGCATACTGAAAGGTATTTAGAGGACTACCAAGGAGGTTGAGATCATGGTTCTGGAGGATAACGCTTTTCTCTTCAAATTCGCGTCAGAAGTGGATAAAAACAGGGTGCTTGTCAGGGCCCCATGGTCGTTCGATAAGAACCTATTTAATGGATTATAAGGAATCTATGTCCTGCAAACTACAATTTCCTCAAAGCCAGCTTCTGGATTCGTATTTATGGCCTTTCTTTGGATGTGAACTCCGGAAATAGCAGTATGTTTGGGAGAAAAACTAGGTGAGTTACTGAAGTAGACGCAGGACTAGAGGGAGGGGGTCGGTCCAAATTTGAGAGATTTCCAGTCAGCATTGACATTCGGAAGCCATTATGAAGGGCAGTTTTAATTAAAGGGAAGAAGGACAAGACATCCTAGGCAGATCGAGGTACGAATGTATGCCCAATTTCTGCTACATCGGTGGTAGAATTGGCCACCTTGACACGGAATGTGATAAAGATCCTAAAACTGATAAGGGTGGCAAAACAAACACACAGTATGGGGACTGGATGCGAGTGTCACGGGTCGAGACTCAAGCTCCGAACCCGCGCGGCTTCGGGACCCGGGCATTCACCCTTTCGGCGTCCCAGATCAGCCTTCCGCCACGGTTCACACCCTTGTGAGGTATTGTCCGCTCTGGCCCCCCCTGGCCTCACGGTTTTGTCCTACAAAAGGCGCCTCACAAGGCGAAGGTGGTGTGAACCCTTTTATATCCCAGGGACCCTTCTATTATGTTCGATGTGGGATTTAGGACTCTTCCTTAGGTCCGTGACATTCTTTCGCACCCAACCTCGTGACGCCCTCGTCACGGAGGCTGACCACCCTGCCTGCCTCCCTCGAGGTGCTTGGCGTGGATCGAACGGTATAGGGCTGGCTCTGACACCACTTGTCACGGGTCGAGACTCAAGCTCCGAACCCGCGAGGCTCCAGGACCCGGGCATTCACCCTTCCGGCGTCCCAGATCAGCCTTCCGCCACGGTTCACACCCTTGTGATGTATTGTCCGCTCTGACCCCCCCTGGCCTCACGGTTTTGTCCTACAAAAGGCGCCTCACAAGGCGAAGGTGGTGTGAACCCTTTTATACCCCAGGGACCCTCCTATTATGTTCGATGTGGGATTTAGAACTCTTCCTTAGGTCCGTGACATGAGCATCCTCATTGAAAGGAAAACCGACCAGAGGAAAGGGATCATCTTTCCTGGCGACGAATCGAGCTATAATAGAGGGGGAGAGTAAATCGGGAAAGGGTTTGATGGGTGTGATAAGGGAGATTTCCTAGGGGCCATCGCTGTAAAAGTGGACCGAGTTCTTGACCCTCTCATCATCGAAGCCTTTAGCTGAGACAAAGTGGAGCTTGCAAAAATCCTGGTCTAGGAAGAAGTATGTCTTGAAGAGGATGCCATAAGAGTGATTAATGGATGTAAGGTGGGTGTCAAAGATCTGTCTTATGTTGGGAAAATCTTGTCTGAAGTAAGGAAAACGGAAAGCTTATTTAAGTTCTTCGCAGCGGACCATGTGAAGAGAGACGCAAATAGAATAGCTGATTTTCTAGCTAAACATGCTCTTAATGTATAAGTTCAGAGGAGAGATGGAGATGGGAATGCCCCTCCATTATTCAAAGTTTGGTTGTATCTAACTATCTTTATTTGAGTTAATGCTACCAATTTTCTGTTTCAAAAAAAAAAAAAATCGTAGCTAAAAATGTTTTTCTGATTAAGGAATCGGACCCTTTATCATAATTATACTTGATCCAAAAAAATAAAAATAAAAAATAAAAAAAAATTCTTGCCTTTGAACCTGCAAGCTTGAGGAATAACTTTTTCGTTTAATTGTCCATCAGGAAATTCACATGCCATGCTATCTCTCCAGACTGTTACCTTTACATTGGTATTATAATCAAAAAGCCTCTGTCCATTTTCCTTACAATTCCTTCTTCACCTGTTGAGGTTGCTCATGGAATTGACGCACACCATCTAACATATTTTCCATTATGGTAATTGGAACTCCATGATTGACCATTCGGAAGATGCCCCATGTTTAAGTTGCATCATGTATGACATCCACAATTTCCCTTCTGCAATCACTTTCAAAGACTTTGAGGTCAATTACAGGAATTTGAAGCTTCGTATCTATGGCATCTAGGGAAGCATTTGGTATTCTCCGGCGGATGGATTAAGATATTG